AACAACAACAAAACAAAAACCAACAACAACAAAAAAACACCGAAGCAGCAGCCAAGCTTTTTGGCTTATACCTTTAATTCCAGCATTTGGTATACAGGGAAGGCAGATTTCTGAGTTCTAGAGCAGCCTAGTCTACAAGTCATGCTCCAGGTTGGTATGGTGAAACCCTGTCTCAGAATATAAATGCAATTTAAAAATTCTTAAAATTAAAAAAAAAAAAAAAAAAAGGAATTTAAGAAGTGGCAGGCCTGGGAAGACTGTAGATGTCTAGCACTTGACTTACAGAAGGGTAAGTTGTGGTTTGAACATCAATCTACCAAAGTTCCTTTTTCAGAATGATGTTCCCACAGGGGCATCTGTAACTGCAGATTTTATTTAGAGTTGCAAACTTATCTTTTAGTCTCTGTGGGGATGAGGAATATCTTTGGAATGTCTGGGAGTTTAAATGTTGTGAGAACTTATTTTTATGGACAGTCAATTAGGAAAACTTCCTTAGTTCCAAATGTTGTGGAGAAAAGATTTGTTTTTTGTTTGTTTGTTTTTCTGATCTTTTAAGTTAAACATTTAATTCCTGTTACAAGTGGAAGAAAACACTAAAAATGACCAAAGGGGGGCGGGGCATGAAACATTCACCAATAATAATTCCTGAATAACTTACTTGTTTACTCAGTAAAATACCTATTCTATAATTTTTCACTTATTTTGTGTGTGTATATGTATGTATGTGTGTTTGTATATAAGTATGTAAGTGCAGGTACTCATGTATCTGAGCATATGTGTAGAGGTCAGAAAACAGCTTTCAGGAATCAGTTTTCTCCTGCTGCCTTGTGGTATCCAGGACTAAACTTCAGTCATTGGCTGAGACATTTTACCAGCCCTTTTGTGTGCATGTGTGTGAGCTGGGTATAGTGGCTCATACTTGTAATCCTCAAACTTGGGAGGGTAAGGCAGGAGAATTACCATGAGTTCAAGGCCAGCCTGAGCTATAGAGTGAGTTTTAGGTCAGCATGGGCTACCAAGTGAGACCTTAAGTCAAATAACAAGAACAATAATAAATAATATAAAAGCCCACCTCTCCTCCCAAGGCTCAGGATACTTACGGAAAAGGGGCTGGAAAGGGTAAGAGCTAGAGGAAATGGATGGTGGATAGCTATAAGGAAATAATATCTATTGGACACAGCAGGGAAGCTGCACATAGAACTTACAGAGGTTTTGAAAAATACACAAAACCTGTGCAAACTCACGCCAGACTAAATCCTAGTGTGGAGATGGGAGGTAGGCACCCAACCCAGCCCCAGCCATGGAGCTGTTAGCAGTTGCTAGCTTCTGGAAAAGGGAGAGACAGTTTTCTTTTAAGAGTGTCCCTGGAAGTCAACCACACTCTAAGGAAGACCATGCATACAAGAATATTTAGGCAGCACAAGTTGGTCTTGATGGATTAAAAAAAAAAGGCACTAGGTTCAGTTGGTAGGGAGAGAGGGATCCAGGAAGAGTTGGGTGAGAGAAGCTAAATGTGGTCAAAACATGTTGTATGAAACTCTTAAAAACTTAAAACAAGAAAGCAAATTCCATAGTGTACCACAGTAGAAACTTTTTGTAAAAGACTATAATTATACAGCATCTACTGTAATGGTTCAGTAAACAAAGTTACAAGGTCTAATGTCAAAACTGGCCTTATTTCTTGCTACAAGTACTTACTGTTGTGTTTACTGAGAACTTATGTTGCATATTTATGCTGTGCCTGTGGGTATAAAGGGTCTTGAAAGACAGTTCCTTTTTTCAGGAGCTTTCAGCCTACTTGAAGGGTTAGTTGTAGACATTTAAGATAACCAACTTAATGGCCAGGTGTGGTTGCACATGCCTTTAATCCCAGCACTTCAAAGGTGGAGGCCAGTAGATAGATCTGTGAATTTGAGGCCAGCCTGGTCTACAAAAAGGAGTTTCAGAACAGCCAAGGCTACATAGTGAGACCTGTCTCAAACAGAAACAAACCAATATGCATAAGCAGCCTAGCAGGCACCAGGCGCTAGGTTCAGCTCCCAGCACTGTTAAGTGAATGAATGAGTATTTCTAACTGATATTAGGTAGGGTACAGAATGAATGTCTTCTGTAGTAAGTGCTGTATTGGAATTAACAGGAGAGACATTTTCTGACTTTATCAGTGAAGGATTATTAAGATGGGTCTTGAGCTGAGCCTTGAAGAGGAGATAAAGGGGGAGGGTAGAGGAATGAGAGCTACTGATTAGACCCATAGTGAGAGCACTGTTGGCATCCTCATTCAGGTATTCTGTACCAATCAACAAACAGTACAGAGACATGGTTTAAAAACATCAGCAATTTTTAGTAGTATCCACAATTTTAGACAGCTATTAGCTAAGAGGCTTCATTTAGACTAGAGAAAGATTAAAGGGAAGTCAAAGCTTTATTGTTTTGTTTTAGTTAAATATGAAATCAAGAAGGGTGAAGTTAAAAGACCCATGTACTTACTGTTATATTAGTTTTAGTAGAATAAGCATTGAACTGGAGAAGTTGGGATACCTGGGTTTTTTTTTATGGTACAACTCAAACCTAATGCCTTGTATTTGTTATACAAATGCTGTATGACCAGGTTAGACCCCCAGCAACATCTGTAGAAAAATTTAAAGTATACATAATTAAATTTTGTTTGTAAATATAAGATTGTATTAATCAAAATTTATGTTACATAACAGTATTTTTATGGCATTCTCCATTCATAGAATGGTATGTTCTGTTGGCCATGGTGGTATATTCCTTTAATCTGGCATTCAGAAGCAAAGAGAGTCATTGATCTCTGCAAGTTCTAGACAAGCCTGGTCTACATAGTAGAGTTTCAGGGCAGCCAGGGCTACATTCCTGTCTCCTAAAAACTGGAAGATTAAGAAGTGGTATATTCTGCTTTAATGGATGGACTTTTTGTTTGGTTTTGTTTTTTGAGACAGGGTTTCTCTGTATAGCTCTGGTTGTCCTGGAACTCAATCGGTAGACTAGGCTGGCTTTGAACTCAGAGATCTGCCTGCCTTTGCCTTCTAAGTGCTGGCATTAAAGGCATGCACCACCACAGCCTGGCTAATGAATGGACTTTTATCTGTAGACATTTAGGCAGATTTCAGCTTCTTCAATTACAAGTATTGTAGTGAATTTAACTGGTATTTTTGTACACCTGAGCAATATGGTTAGGTGGTAGACTGAATAATTTCTTTTTTGTTCTTCCATTGATAGGCATCAAGGTTTTAAGTGTTTTGCTTTTATGAACACTTTTGTGCCTGAGATATATGAGATTAAATAAGTTTTAGAATGATTTCTGTAGACAGAACATGCATATGCATGCCTACACACATATGAATAAAAGTTTACAAGCTGTTTAAATTGGTTTTTTTCTCTTTGCTAGGACAAAACTTCTAAGATAGAGGTATATTAGGGGAAGATTGATTTATTTTAGCTCTTAGTTTCAAGGCCAGGAAGGCATGCTATCTGGGAGCCTAACATAGCTTGCTCCTACGTCCATGACTGACTAGGAAACAGAGATTGGAACAAAGGGTGCTGAAGGGCTGGCTATAACCTGAGGCAGTTGGTGTGGCTGCTGTCAGTGAGGCTCTACTTCTCCAGGCTCCACAGCCTTCCAAAGTATCACCTTCATTGGAACCACCTGGTTAAACATGTGGGCCCGTGCACCACTGCATATTCAAACCATAGTAAAGGTACGCAGGGAAAACAAAATCCTTCCCAGCGATCTTTCCATCCTTAATTCATTTTGAATTTTTTCAGAGTTTTTTTTATCTTTTTATTTTGAAGAGTCAGGTCTCATATAACCCAGGCCTTGAACCTGATGTGTAGCTGATGATGCTCTTGAACTTCTTTCTACTTCCAGAGTATTGTGTTGCAATTGTGTACCACCATGCTGGATTTTAATGTAGTGCTGGAACCTAGGACTTCATGTATGCTAGACAAGCACTCTACTTTAGAAGAGTAGAAACTTCCTAGAAGTTTCCTGTTTAAACATAAGCATATTCAGTATGTCTGCTCTCCTCCTCCATATAAACAGTAGCACATGGACTCATTGTTCTGTGCTTTTTGCCATTGATTTATTGATTATTTACTTATTTTTGAGACAGGGTTTCTCTGTGTAGCCCTGACTGTCCTGGAACTCACTCTTTAGACCAGGCTGTCCTCAAACTCACACAGATCTGCCTACTTCTGCCTCCCTAGTGCTGGGATTAAAGACATGCGCCATCACCAGGCTTTTTGCATTTAGCAGTATAACTTGAAGAAAATACATATCAGGACATATATCTCCGTATACTTTCTAGCTGTGTTGAATGTATGACTAACCCACAATTAATTCAACTTTTAAAAAAACTCAAATTTTTAATTTATGCTTTTATTTATTTATTTGATCATTTATTTAATGAGTGTGTGTATATGTGAGGCCACAGTGTATCACAATGCACATATGTAGGTCAGAGGACAGCTTGCAGGTATTGGTTCTCTACCTAGACCATCTTGATCCTGGGGATCACCAAATCACCAAGCCTGATGGCAAGTACTTTTACCACTGTCTTGGTGGTCCAATCGATTCACCTCTTTTTTTGTATTGATGAAGTATAAAAATATTGCAAATTGCTTTGAAAGTACAGCATTATGCCATTATTTGTACTCCACAATCATTAAAAAATAACTTGGCCGTAAGGGCGTGGCTCCTGGCAAGCTAGCCATACTGCAGTGGATGGCCCAACATCCAAAAAGTATATGGGCAGCACAAACTGGACTTAATGGGTTAGAGATACACACATAAAGGAAAAGAGTGAGGTTGGGAGGGGATGAGGAAGTAGGGACAGGGATATGGGGAGGGGTGGTGGTGAACATGATCAAACTATGTCCTGTGTGTATATGAATTTCTCAAGGAATAAAATATTCTTTTCAACTAAAAAAAAAGAACTTGTAAAAAAAAAGTCTGATTGTCATCTTTTTTTCCCTTTCAGTGGTGGGATCAGCAAGCTGATTTTTATACTGCTTTCTTACATCATTTGGCACAACTAGTGCCAGAAATTTATTTTGCTGAGATGGACCCAGATTTGGAAAAGCAAGAAGAGAGTGTACAAGTGTCAATACTCACCCCTTTGGAATGGTGCTTATTTGGAGAGGATCCGGACATCTGCTTAGAGAAATTGAAGCACAGTGGAGCATTTCAGTTGTGTGGGAAGGTTTTCAAAAGTGGAGAAACAACATATTCTTGTAGGTGAGTATCATAAATTTAAAGGACTGGTTTTAATTTACAGCTTATAATTTGCATCATGCCTGGTTCATGGCGTTCTTTTCCTATGGTACATTAATCTTAAGTTCCTTTTATTTTACACTTTAAATCCACTTTTGCTCATAAAGCTTGATTTTTAATATATGACTTCTTATTAAACAGTTCTTTTTTTTTCTGTTCTTCAAAAGTATCAAAGAAATAGATTTTGAACTGTGTACATGTTTTGAAGTCAGCATACTGTATCTGAAACTTTTGAGATCAGGTGTATTTCAGAATTCTGACTACTTCCTCAACAGCATCTTAATAGAACCTTGTAAACAAACATCGGTATTCACAAAGATATGCTCACAAGTAATATAAAGCCTGTAGTTACATGTCATACCATACATACATACATATATAAATATATATGTTCAAAGTTTTTATCTTTTAGACAGGGTTTCCATTGCCTGTGCTGGCCCAGAACTCATAATGCGATTACAGGCATGAGCCCCAATATCCAGGTTTCATACATATATTAAAAGCCAGGCATGGTGGTATATACCTTTAATCCCAGCACTAGGGAGGGAGGCAGAGAGAGGCGGATCTCTGTGAGTTTGAGGCCAGCCTGGTCTACAGAGTAAGTCCAGGACAGCCAGGGCTCTGTTATACAAAGCAACCCTATCTAGAAAAACAAAATAAAAAGTAGTATATATATTTATTATATATATATTTGTAATATATATTTATATTATATAATTATAATATTTATAATTGTTATATATAAGTTATTATATATTATAAATATATAATAATTGTATATTTATAATATATATAATAAAAACCACTTTTTTGCTTAGAGAAATTAAACCATATATATGTGTATATATATATATATATATATGCTTATTTCTTTTTTCTTTTTTTAATTAAATTTTTTTAATATTAGTTACAGTTTATTAACTTTGTATCCCAGCTATAGCCCCTCCCTTATTCCCTCCCAATCCCACCCTCCCTCCCTCATCTCCTCCCTGCCCCTTTCCAAGTGCACTGATAGGGAAGGACCTCTTCCCCTTTCATCTGACTCTGGTTTATCAGGTATCTTCAGGACTGGCTGCAAAGTCCTCCTCTGTGGTCTAGCAGGGCTGCTCCTCCCTCAGTAGGGGTAGGGGGAGGTCAAAGAGCCAGCCATTGAGTTCATGTCAGAAATATCCATACATGGTCCTTGGTTGGAGATACAGTCTTACAGAAGACCCCTGTGCCCAGATATATTTGGTCCTTGTGGAGCTCCTGTCCTCTCCAGGTCATACTAACTCCCCCTTCTTTTATATGATTCCCTGTACTCTGCCAAAGGTTTGGTTATGAGTTTCAGTATCTGCTTTGATACACTGCTAGGTAGAGCCTTACAGAAGCCCTCTGTGGTAGGCTCCTGTCCTGTTACTTGTTTTCTCCTACAACCGATGTCCACACCATTTGTCTTTCTAAGTGAGGATTGATCATCTTACCCACGGTCCTCTTTCTTGTTTATCTTCTTTAGGTGTATAGATTTCAATATGTTTATTCTATCTTATAGGTCTAGTACCCTCTTATAAGAGTATATACCATGTGTGTCTTTATCCTTCTGGGATACCTCACTCAGAATGATCTTTTCTAGATCCCACCATTTGCCTGCAAATTTCATGATTTCCTTGTTTTTAATTTCTGAGTAATATTCCATTGTGTAAAAGTACCACAATTTCTGTATCCATTCCATTCCTCCGTTGGACATCTGGGTTGTTTCCAGGTTCTGGCTATTATAAATAAAGCTGCTACAACCATTGTTGAGCAAATATTCTTGTTGTGTACTTGAGTATCTTTTGGATATATGCCTAGGAGTGGTATAGCTGGATCTTGAGGAAGTGCTATTCCTAATTGTCTGAGAAAGCGCAGATTGATTTCCAAAGTGGTTGTATAAGTTTACATTCCTACCAGCAATGGAGGAGGGTTCCCCTTTCTCCACAGCCTCTCCAGCATGTGTTGTCACTTGAGTTTTTGATCTTAGCCATTCTGATGGGTGTAAGGTGAAATCTCAGGGTCGTTTTGATTTGCATCTCTCTGATGGCTAAGGACGTTGAGCATCTCTTTAAGTGTTTCTCTGCCATTCTTTATTCCTCTACAGAGAATTCTCTGTTTAGCTCCGTACCGCATTTTTAAATTGGGTTGCTTGATTTATTGATTTTTAACTTCTTTAGTTCTTTAATATATTCTGGATATCAGCCCTCTGTCAGATATAGGGTTGGTGAAGATCCTTTCCCAGTCTGTAGACTGTCGTTTTGTTCTATCGACAGTGTCTTTTTGCTTTACAGAAGCTTTTCAGTTTCATGAGGTCCCATTTATTGATTGTTGCTCTTAGAGCCTGTGCTGTTGGTGTTCTGTTCAGGAAGTTGTCTCCTGTGCCAATGAGTTCTAGGCTCTTCCCCACTTTTTTTTCTAACCGATTTAGTGTATCTGGTTTTATGTTGAGGTCTTTGATCCACTTGGACTTCAGTTTTGTGCAGGGTGATAAATACGGATCTATTTTCATTTTTCTACATGTAGACATCCAGTTGGACCAGCACCATTTGTTGAAGATGCTGTCTTTTTTCCAA